ACGCTGAATGCGCACTTTCATCTGGTTTGGTCTGCCGCGGGCAACCTTGAGAAAGAATTGTTGTTTGTTATGGGAATAAGATATGTATTGTCTACAAGCACCCTCACACAGGGGAATTGTGTGGCTCCTGCAGGTGAAACAAACTGAGTTAAAACTTTAATAGTGAGTAAATAGCATAAATCAATATAAGAAATAAGAGAAATCTAAATTTTCCGATCACAAAACCCAGATTAAATGACAGGATGGGCAAAGATCAGAGGAAGAAAAGGTCCTTAGAAACTTTGGAGGAGCTGCAGAGACAAAAAAATTAGTTTGGAGTATTAGTCCCCACGGAAGCTGGTTCATGTGCAGTTCCAAAATGTAACCTTTATGAAAGTTGATGAAAAGAACGTCTTTAGGAGGCCTAGTTTGCATTTTACCCCAAGTTGTTGTGTAGATTAGAGAGTAAACCTGTGAAAAAAACAGAGGCTCCTGTTATGTATGATGAGAGGAAAGGGCAAAACCTCCCTTGTTTTGATGCAGGATGTTGATGAGACAAACCACAGAGGGTTTGCAGCTGGAAGTGCAGAAAAAAGGTCTGAGTACAAATTTCTAGATGACATTCCAGTCAAATATATTCAGGTTTTTTGAACAAAATGAAAAGGTTAAGAAGTATGAATATTTAAAACCACAATTTCAGACTGACTCCAACATTTTCATCTCAGAACGAACTGGTTTGTCGTGTAAGAGGAGGTCAGATTAGTAGATTGTATAAACTTAAAGCTTCTTCTGATAACCCTTGTTGTCCCTGTTTGTAAGTGCTGTGTTTAATTTGGTTTTTGGTTTTTTTTATCTTAATCATAAACACAACTTTAAAGCTTCATCAAAGAACCTGACAAAAAAAAAATGTAAAGCACATGCAGAAAAAAAAAGAAAGAAAGAAAATAATAACCTCACAGTGAAGGAAGGGGGCTTCTTTCATGGCACCATCAATCTGGAGGAACAAAAACGCAACCGCAGCTTCAAATGCTCGTCATATATTCTCTGACCTCAGAATAAAAATCCATTGGAATATTATGATGACGATGATTGGAAAGAGATTTGCTTGAGCCATTCAGGGAAGAGGAATTCAATGCAGCGTCAATAAATTGAGCAGAAATGCATTATTCCCTCTGATGTGCGCGCATATTGGGCTCCTTTCTCCTCTTTGTCCAGTGGATTCCATTAGAGCATAGCGCTCCTGACTTTTCTACAGACTGCTTTGCATTCATAAGCATTAGGTGCACAGGTGCAGCAGGCCTTTGTTGGGATGATAATTCCCATCCAGCCTCCTTCGTTCACAGCACCGCCGGTTTGAGTGTGAAGGCGGTAATGGATGTGGCTGCAGCTTCAGGAGAGGTTATGATGACCTGAGCTGTGCTTTAATGTGTCTTTGGCCTTTCCAGGTGACATCACAACTGGGAACAAAGGAGACGGACACTTTCCACACATCGGCCCCACGGGTGAGTGCTCCCGTAATGGCTGAGGGGAAGAGGAGGGTAGTACATCACTTAGACTTTTTCCACTCCTAATTACAATTATTCTCCTCTACATCTTTTTTTTTTAATTATTCAGCTTTTCTTTTCCTATCAAAATGAGTTTCTTCACAGAAAAGCACAGAAATATATGCACACAGGTGGCCAAGGGCATATGTGATTTTAGGAATGGTCTTTGTGTGTCCGTGTGAACAGAGGACTCAGGGACAGGACTGGCCCGCGGCTTGTACATCCCCTGTCCAGATCACTACAAGAACTACTGTGTCCACGGGGACTGTCAGTTCCCCAACATGCTCTCCCAGCCGTCCTGCAGGTAAACACCAACACACACAGCAGCACCAACAGGAAGTTATGATTCAGTGTTGATGTTTTTCCTAAAATTAGTCATAACTAGCCTGTTTGTTTTCACTAAGCAATAGCGGCATAATAAATTCCTGATCCTGTCTCCAGGCATTTTAGTAGGTTTTAGTTTTTACTTTTTTTTTATACTTTCTGGAAATATTACATTTTTAAAAGGCAGGAGTTCTCTATCTTTTTTTCGTAAAGTGTAGGTGTGATTTCTACACGTAGAACTACATGTAATAAACAGATCGCCTGAATTAAGATTAAAGGAAAAGAACTGTTACTTTGCCGATGTAACTCCTCCCAGCCTGTAAGTGGCGCACTCGCGCTCACTGGTCTTTTTTTCAGCTGTTTACCTGCCGTTCAGCAGGTCCGCTAATGTTGATGCTAGGCTTTGGTTAGCTTTGACAAACATTTATCACTACAAAAACGATGTAGAAATAAGTCAACATTTCTTAAATTTAAGTTTATTTAGCCTTAATTTCAGTAGGTAAATAAGATGGTTTGCAAATGGAATGAGTGATTTTACTCTTATTAGATAATATGCACATAAAACAGGAAAATGCATTTATTTTTACTTATTTTAAATGTAAATAATCTTGTTCCATTGGCATTCCAGTGTGTCACTTACCTCCTCAATTCAGGACAAAATGCATTTATTTTAAGAAAAAATTACGTATTTATATTAAAGTTTTTCAGTCAAAATTGCCCGAAAGGAAAATGGTAAACCTCTCTGCGACTTCTGAGTCATTTTGCTTCCTTATGTCGGCACCAACGCTGGAAAGCGTCTCTTGAATTTGAGGAAATGTAGCGGAGAAGAAGCCATTTTTCTGCCCTATCACTGAGCCACTAGGATCTAACAACCTCTGAGCTCCGTCTCACACAACTTCAACCTTCTGTTCTTATTGGTTCAGAAAACATTCCTGCTAACCTTGGCACTCATAACCAAAAGTAAATATTTAGATATTTTAAAATTTGTTTAAAAAAATTTTACTATTATTTTGGGGTTCTTTCCTATAAAATTTATATTTATTCCTCACCACTCAGGCTCTTTTAGAATAGAATAGAATTCAACTTTATTGTCATTACACTGTCACAAGTATAGAGCAACGAAATGATTTCTCTGCATTTAACCCATCCCCTTGGGGAGCAGTGGGCTGCCATTGTGCGGCGCCACTCAGGCTGTTTTGTGGATGTATTTTAATGAACAAGTTTTATTTGTGGCTTTTAAGCCTGTAATTGTTTTTTGTGACCATAAGATGCTCTTATATCCAACATTAAATGGATCAGTTTGAGCTTTAAAGCTTTTTTTTCTGCTCCCGATCCAACTGACTTTCATGAAGTATCTTGGTGTGACAGCGTCCTTAAAAGGAAAATAACCTAAAGAGTTTTATTCTTTAAATTAAAGAAACAGGAGTTAAGTTACAATGAGCCACTGTAGAGAGTCCAAGGAGCCAGTAAAGGTTTGGTAGGTGCAGATTGCAGATCCTGTAAAGGGCGGATTATACTGCAACCGCACACATCAAATGTTGCTTGCATCTGGTCGCGAACTAGTTTTGCTGGTATGCTTCTGCAACGTAGATCTTGAATTTCTAGGGATGCACAGCAGTTTCCCACCAAAGTGCAAGGGGAGGCCTATCCGAGAACTCACGAGAGTGTTTATTTTCCAAAACAACATGTCTGAGGCATCGTACAAGTGGTTGTACTACTCCTCAATCAACCTTTCGTCGTGGTTATCAATTGTTGTCATTACTCCTCAGTTTTTAAAGATGGCGCCCCTGCACCACATCGAGAAGGACGACCACACAGACAGCCAGAAAGGCATATCAAGGACCAATCACCGCTGCTTTTTGTCTGTACACTTCCGCTTGAGGTCTGCGCAGGTTTGCAAGGCTCAGGATTTTTTTGAAGTGCGCGACCACGACCACGAGGTTCTGCAACTGGCATCGCAGACAGATTTGACGGTTGCAGAGGCTATGCGTCAGAAGTATAAATTGGCCTTAATCCTTGTATTTGTGAACTGAAGAGCTAACAGAAATCTCTCAATTCAGTTTTTATCTGCAGGTCCCAAATAAACCGATGCACCATTATTCCCAGCGCCGAAGATCCTTGTTTTCTATATTCCTCCATTCTGATATGTAATAGTAAAGTAAATTTAGCCCAATACTGGCAGGTCTGATGGTTAATTTGTTGTGAAATTATTGATTTTTCTCAGCTTTATGTGTGGGATGTGATACTGATGGTTTTACTGACTGTACAGGTGTCCTTATGTAACAAACAATTTATATCTGTATCTGTGTGTAAACAGTATTCAATCATCACAGGGTAGTTGCTCTCCTCACACTCATCTGCAAACTAAGATAAAAGTGTAACACAGCTAATAATGTGTGAAATGTTCCAATCGCTAGGAAACATTGGACCTAATTTACTTTGCTAATAAGAAATCAGGCTTGTTTATCTGAACTGAATATAAGACAGCGGTGTGCTGAGAGGAGCAAACGTAGGAGATTCCCTCCCGCTGAGGCGATAAGGCGAAGATGAACCGCTGACCAGTCAGACGTGCTGCTCTGCTCCAAATTAATCCCATGTTGGAGTTCTCACAGCTTAATAAGGCTGTGGTGTTCCCCGGCCCCCACGCATCGTGATCTGGGATTCTGTTTGCCCATCTGCAAGGCGGGCTGAGGGGGCGTCAGCAATCACGGCTCTCATTTTGGTTTGCATATGTGCAGCACGAAGTGGAAAAAGAGCTCTGTGACGTGGAGCACAAACACCAGAGACACAGATGAGCCACAAAATAAATTAAGTTCTACAGCTAATGCAGTGAAGGGTTCTGTTGGGAAAGATTAAGGTCTGCCGGAACTTTTTATAAGGTGCGTCGTGATGTAAAACAGCATGCATTAGACTAACTGTTAAGCGCAACGCTCAAACTGAATGCATGGTCAAGAGGCCTGAAAGTGGACATCAGAACATGAGAATCCCCATTCCTCATCGAAGAATGGGATTAAAATTATTTTATGCGATGCTGTTGTTGGCACCAGAGGACCCGGTCTGAGCAATTTACAAAAAGTGATTTTCACCCTGAAGTATAGAGAATGAATAAAAAAGGGAAATAATCCAGTGAGCTCTTTTGTTATATAGTATATTAATGTCAAAAGTCAGAAAAGAAAGGTCAGACTTTTTTCTAGATGATAAAATAACTGCTGTCAGCTAAGAAACTGGCTCATTGCAGATTAGAAAAACTAGCTTAGGCAGAAGAATTTTGATTAAGCTGAAAGGTTCAGATCGTTTCTACAGAATTTGATGTCATTTGGTGGTTGTGGTTTAAAAGAAATAGGGATGTATTTTCCTGAGACACTTCGATTTCTAGTAACGATTAATTATGATTTGAAGTCGCACACTACCTTAATATTATCAATCTTGCATGGCTACATCCAGTAAGATGGATAAATAATAAAACTAAAAGATTTATTCTGATTATAAATGTATGATGAGCCAGTTTATTCACATCGATAACCACATTGTGTGGATATTTCTCTTCAATATCCTATGAATATAAAAGATTGTAGTTGTACTTTAAAAAACAGCTAAGAACTAATATGATATGAATAATTTTGTAAAGTACTGAGCACTAATAACATTTACTATGTCAACAAAAACAGATGAAACACCTTGACTTTACATCCTGGGGTCCATTTCACGAAGCAGGTTTGAGAAACTCTGCAAGACAGGTGTCTTTATGCAGCTAACGACCTCAAACAGGTGCATCTAATTTATGCTGCGTTCACACCGGACGCAGCTGGCGCAGCAGAAGCAGCAAGTTTACATGCAAAGTCAATGGTTGAAGTCAAGGGCGCAGCAAAAGGTCCCGCAGCGCGTTTTGAGCAGCAGGCGCAGCGCATCTGGCAAGTTTAAGCATCTGACGCGACGCAAACGCGCTGCTGCTCGAGATGGAAAAATTTAACTTTTGCTGCTCGACGCGCCGCGTCAACCAATCAGAGAAGCTGATCTGGGAGCTGGCAGGGAGACAGACACATCGCCGATGATACAGAGGGCTGTGATCACTCCTCTGAAACAGTTTATTGACGCATAAATTAACTTAAAATGCAGAAATCTGCTGGCAGAATATGTTCGCTTTTATTATCCTGGTGCCTGCAGTTTAGATTATTTAGATGAAAAACTCCTACCAGCCGCTGAGGTGAACCGCGAGGCGGCGACCGGGCCAGAGGCCGCTGTTGAAGTGGATTCCTCATCCAGTGCACTGCTGTATGTGGGGGTCTGAGCGGCTCCGGCAGAAATAATATTGGAAGGCAGGATGGTAATCTGGATGAACTGGCTGCATTGATTAA